GGATGTAACTCCATTAATACGCGAGTCTGTCTAGCAAAAGTAATCTCCATTTCTCCAATGCTTTACAATTTGCAAGAAACTTTCCTCCTCCGTGAGGTCATTAGTACAAATATTATGGCCCCATTTTACAGATGAAGAAACTGGGAGCCACAGATGTAAAGTGGCTTGCCCCAGAATTATCCCTTGAGTGAAGGTTGGAGCCAAACCTTGAACCCAGGTTCATCGTCTGAGTCTAGTCTACACTGCCTCATCTGAGCAGATAAGAGGGAAGCCCATCCAGGTGCTCTTGGAGTCATAGACCCTTAGCTCTGGAAGGGACCTGAGAGATTTCCTGTTGCTTCTGCCACAGTGCTCTGGTCTTCTCTTGGCCCACAGGACCAACATCTGCCAGGGCTCCTTCAGTACATGGAGTGCCTGTCCTCTTCTTCCCCCAAGGACCTGCCCTAAGGGAGGCTGTTGGTGTCAGAGGAACAGCAGGAAACTTGCCCAAGCCTGGGCTTTGGAGTCAGAGGCCATGGGTAAAAATCCCACCACTGTCACTTATTCTCTATGTGACCCTGGGCAAAAGTCACTTCACTTCTCTGGGCCTCAGTTTCCTTATCTGTAAAAGAGGAATCATAATACCTGCCCTCTTGTCTTTTGGTGATGAGACAATAAAATGGCAGAAGCTGGGAAGAGACTTTGGGGAGGAAATGTCCAAAGTGTATTATGAGAGTGAGGCCTCGTTTCCCCCTTCGGTAAAACTCTCTGGGCCAGCTGATGGCAGATGTTGTCTTCCTAGGACTGGACCCGCCTTGAGGCCTTTGAAAAGTAAGGGGAAGATCTCCCTTTGAAGAGAATGGTCATCTAAGCTCCCCTGTTGGGGCTGCTGGGCATTTGAAAGGGTCAAGTTCAAGGTTTGTCTGGGGTTCTTTGTAGATAACCATTCTGGATTCCAGAGTACCTCTCGAGGTCCCAGTTGCGGGCCAGTTGCGGGCGGGGTGGGGAGTGAGTAGAGTGTCCCTGGGGTAAGGCTAGAGGCTGCCCTGACTTCCTCTTAGGGAAGGGAAGAGAATGGTCCCTGAGAGGGAAAGGGCTAGCCTTCTCTTTTCTTCTGCCATAAGGAGCCTCCTTGTGTTACACTCAGCCAACAGGGGATGGATGAAACATTTGGAAGTCCAGAGGGGGCTCTAGGAAGTCGCTTTGTTTCCAAAAGAACAGACTCCCACCACACCCACAAGGGAGCAGGAGGAGCTCTGGGCCACCCTCAGTCCTCACTAACGTGCTCTCCAACCTCAGTGTGAAGATAGAGTCACAGCCTGGGAGAAGGATGGAAGGGTCTTAGACTTACCTCCCCCAAGTCCAGCAAGACCACCAATACCTGGAGGGGAGAAAATGATTGAATGAGCTTAGGCAGGGAGCGAGAGGATGGCAAGCAGGACCCTCCGCCTCCCCAATTTGAAGTCAGACAGACTCATGGATACCCCTTCCCCCAACATCCCTCTCCTTTCCTGGAAGCAGCCCTCCACTCCCTTCTACTCTCTTCCTCCCTCTTCCCTCCCTCTCCTTCGCTCCTTTGGGTCCCCTCACTCCTCCTTTCTCTCTCTTTCCCTCATTTTTTCTCACGTCCTTCCCCTCTCCATTCTATTCCTCTCTTTCTATACGTGTCTCTTTTCTCCCTTATGTCTCTCACTCACTCTGGGAGTCTGTCTCTCTGTCTCCTTCTCCATGTCTTTTTCTTCCTCTCCATCTCTACCTCTTCCCTTTTATCTTCCTCTGACTTTGTCTTTCCGTCATGGTCTCTGTCTCTGTTGTTCTCTCTCTAGCTGCCTCCCTCTCTTTTCCTGTCTCTATCTCTGCCTCTCTCCAGCCTCTCTGTATCTTTTTGATGTTCATCGTCTCTACTCGGACTTCTTTTCTTTGTCATTCTTCCTGTGTCTCTTTACCTCTGTCTCTCCCCACCTTTTTTTCTCTACTCCTCAGTCTGTCTGTCTCTGCCTCTCCCTTGTCTCTTGTTCTCCTGTATTGTCTCTGCTGCTCTGTGACTCTCTACCCCTTCCCATCTGTATCTCTGTCCTTCTCTGTCTCTGTCTCCACTCTGCCTGTGTCTCCATCTCTCTGCTCACTACTGTCTATCTCTGTCCCTCTGTCTCTGTCTCTGCCTGTCTTTCTCTCTGTCTTTCTTTCTTCCCCACTGTCTCTTTTCCTCTTTCCATCTTTTGTCTCTGTTTCTGCCCGTGCTTTCTCTCCGCCTCCGTATCTGCTTGTCTGTCTCTGTTTCTTCCTTCCCTTCTTCCCCTTCCTTCTGTCTCTGTCCCCATCTCCATCTCTGTCTCCACTCTGTCTCTCTCTGCCTCCCTGGCCCTCTCCCCTCTACTCCACCCTGTGTCGGATGCTGGGGGAGGCTGGCTGCCAGCTTCTCAAGCCCCAGACACCTCGGGCTCGCAGCTACACAGGGCCTCTCACTCTGCCATCAGGGGTGGGAGTGGCTTATGCCCAGCCGCAGCTCAGCTCAGCTCAGCTCTATGGACACCAAGCCCCACTACCTGCTGGGGATCCCTGGCACAGGTCTGCGTAGGGGGCGGAGGAGGAGGCAGTCAGTGGAGCTGAGGCAGCTGTGATTCTCTCCCTCCCTCTCACCCTGAGCCAGGGGATTAGTTGTTCCTAAGTCCCAAACATGCAGCCCAGCCCCAGGAAGGCCTCCAGAAAGCAGGCTCACCCAAATGTTGCCACTCCAGGCTCTGCAACCCTAATCCTCAGTCTAGAAGGATCAGAGGCACCCAGATTTGGGAGCTTGGAGGGATCCCAGCCTTCTCAGTTTACAGAGGAGGAAACCAAAGTCCATCAAGGTCAAGGGATTTGCTCCAGGTCACACAAGTCAGAGACAGGATTTGAACCCAGATCTCTCCCTCTAGTGCCAATGCTCATTCTATTGCACCAGACAACCTTGAGAAGTCATGGTGTCCATGCCTCTGCCTTGAAGCCATTCTGGACCGCACAGTTATGTTATCAATTATCAATTTATATTTACATTGCTCCTTTCATCCAGGGCACATACTCCAGCTTTCCTTATGGATTAGACTAGGAGTCAGCAAAGCTGCAGCCTAGGTCATTGACTCGATGTATGTGACTTGGGCAAGGCATCTCAGCTCCATGCTTCTCCACATATTCCATTATAAAATAGGACTAATAATATCTGCCCCGATCCCCTCTCAGGTAGCGATGACCTCTCCTTTCCAGGGAGCAGCAGTTGAGAAACCAAGGGTGGTCATAGCATCTGTATGGTTTCCTTCTCTTTTAAAAACGAGGGTGGGGAGGGGCAGCTAGGTGGCTCAGTGGATAGAGCACTGGCCCTGAAGTCAGGAGGACCTGAGTTCAAATCCGGCCTCAGACCAAACGCTAGACACTCAGTAGCTGTGTGACCCTGGTCAAGTCACTTAAATTGCCTAAACATAAATTGCCTAAAAATAAAAAAAAAACAAAATAAATGAGAGGGTTGGAGACGCCTAGCTAGATGGCTTCTAGATCTAGGATCCTATAAGCTTAGAGCACGTGTGACCTTGGCAAACTCACTTCCCTTTCCTGGGCCTCAGTTTACCCATCTGTATAATGAGTGAGTTGGACTTGGTCCTTTACAATGCTATTCATAAGCCTGTGGGCCTGCGCCTGGATGCTGGGGAGCAGCCCCAGAAAAGGGCTGTACGGAAGCTCACAAAGGCTGGGTTTCTCCCCGGCTTCCTCCTTAGCTTCCAAAGAAACCCAAACCGCTTCTATCCCTTCCGGCACTGAAATTCTGCTGTGGCTCCCAGCCCAGATGGATTTTCGAGAGAAACTGAATCCAGGTGCTTTTCAGAAGATTCATTTGTACTTGGCTCCCCGAACAATGGGATGTTGTTAAGAGGCCCCCTGACATCCTGTAAGAGCTTGAGCCATCTCAGACCTCCGCTCCCAGAGACAGGTATGGATGCTGAGCACTGAGGAAGCACCAAACCCCGTGTGGAGAAGGTTTCCCTTGAGGGGGGCCCCTGGCAACTCCCCAGAGGAGGGGCAGTGGTGCCCAGCTCCCATCCCCATCCAACACACCCTTGGAGCCTTGCTTATCCCTTTTCTATCAGCACCCAGTGTCAGGAAGACCTGAGTTCAAATCCACCGCAGACATTTACTAGCTGTGTGACCCTGGGCACACCACTTCTGCTTACCTCTGTTTCATCTGTAAAATAGGGATAATAATAGCCCCTACCTCCCAGAGTTGTGTGGATAAAACGAGATAACATCAACAAAGCACTTTGCAAATCTTAAAGCACTCTAAAAATGCTATTATTGTTATTGTTGTTGTTATATGCTGCAATCGAAAGGGTTAGATTTGGAAACAGAGATTCAAATTCAACAGAGTAAGTTGCTGCCCCTCTCTGGGCCCCCGTTTCTTCATCTGTAAAATGAGCATGTGGACTCGGTAGCCCCAGCAATCCCTTTCATCCTAAATCTCTGATATGGAATTCATGAAGTGCTATATAATTGTGCCACTTTGATCAAAGATCCTACAGACAGTAACGACTTCAGTCTGCAGAGAATTTCCAGAAGCCTCATTTCCCAAAGCTAAGGATGCATTCTGGAATCCTCCTTGAGGAAGCTTCAGAGATCCACCCTCCTCCTCATAATACCCTTCTTGACGGCTCATCTGTCTTTGTTATCCTCTCAGCCTTTAAGGAGAATGGTCTTGCAGAGAAGAGGGAGCTTTCCAGCCAAACGGGGGAGACATTCATTGCTCCCCCTCTTGGGGAATCCTCAGTCTGCTCCAATTTCCCTTTTGGATTTTCCCTTCCTCCCGATCATCCCTGCCCCCCACCTGCCGGCCCTCCTCAACCCATCACAGCTCTGGCCCCTGGATGTGGTCAAAGATGGTGATCAGGGATGGAGGAAGGGGAAACTGCCTTACCTGGTTTGGGCGGTTTGCCTCCAGCTCCAAGTCCTGGAGAAAGAAGAATAACCGATCAGCCCCAGCCTGTTTGAGAAGTTCTCCAAGAAAGGGTCCTGTGAGCCCCTGGTCATCATCTCTACTGTGGAGGGCACTGTCTTGGCTCTTTGAGTTGAAGAAGGCTAGAGCATTTCCCAACGGGACTGCTAGTGACCTTCTCCCCCACCCCCAATTCTCTTCTTCCCTATTCCTAGAGGACAGAAACTAAATCTTAGACTGGGTCCCTCTGAGAGCCCCAAGGTCATCTGGAGAACATAGGATTGGACAAGGGTGTCTGGAAGCCTGGCTTATTCTGGTCCTGAGTCTGTCTTTGTCTTGCTTTGTGACCTTGAGGAAGTCACCTAACCTCAGTGAGCCTCAGTTTCCTCATTTGTAAAATGAATGGATTGCAACCAGATGATTTTAAGTCTCCTTCCATCTCTTACAGGAGAATGGGGAAAATCCAGCTCCTGTCTGAGTCTGTGAAAGTGTTTTGAACAGCAAATACTAGATGGCATATTAATCTCTGGCTGTGAGTGTGGCTACCAGAGATTTGGCTCTCTTGTTCTCCAGCATATAACAAGGTTCTTAATCTTACCTCCAAGGCCTGCAAGACCACCAGCTCCTACAACAAACCAGAGAGAAAGTTTTTGTTAGTTCCCTTTTGTTAGTGCCCTGGGTGGCATTGCAGCCATCTCTCCTTCTGCACAAACCAGACTTGGTCACTCCTCCTGACCCAGAAAGGATTCTAGTCATCCTCAGCTGAAGGAAATGGTGACAAGGGATGATTCTCTTCTGATGCGAGGCATCAGAAACCTTGCTGGAGCTGTGTGGAACTGGGTTTACTCATGGCCAAAATACGCGAGTGCTTGCACAAGGTGATTAGAGAAGGTCTCCACATCTCAAACTTTCTCCCATTAAAATTCCACCATTAGCACCCCTCCTTAATCGATGCTTTTGGAGGCTTGTGTATCTTTTTGAAAACTTAGTTTTGGGTTTTTTTCAGTGCATGAGGATTTGTTTTCTCTCCCTCGAACCTTTTCCCTCCCACTGGGAAAAAAAAAGCGGTCAAACAAAACAGTCCCTGATTGGCCATGTCCAGAAACATGTGTCCTTCTACATCTTGAGTCCATCACTTTTCTGTCAGGCCACGGGCAACATGCATCACTTCCCTGGAATCATGATTGGTCATTGCGTTGAACAATGACACTTGTGTCTTTTAACTTGGCTGAGGCACAATGCTCCCCAGGGAAGAGCTAGCTAATCTACCCATCACCACTCACTGTTCCCTAACTGTGTAGAACCCCAAGGCTATAAGACTGCAGGCTGGGGGAGCAGAGGAGAGGAGGAGATTCCAGAATAGAGAGGCGTGTTCTGGAGAAAACAGGGCCCTTCTTCTCCTTCCTTCCTGTCACACCTCACCCCCACCCCCAGCCACTTAGCACTAGGAGAACTAAGGCAGGGTTGGGGTAATACTGAAAGGCAGCATATTGGGTTGTAATCCTGACTGTGTGACTTCAGATGAGTCATTTCCCTTCTGTGAACTGAGGAGGGTCAGACCAAATGATCCCTCTAAGGTCCCTTCCAGCTTTGGCCTTCTAGGATTCTAGAGCTTCTGTGATGGTGAGGGGTACTGAGAGAACCAGGGTTCTTGGTTCTTGGCAAAAAACAAGCGAACAAAAACTATGAAGGCTGCCATGTTGTTCTTCCTTGAGTTCATACCAAGTAGGGTTGGGGAGGGAATATCCAATGCAATCCCAACAAGGATTTAGTAAGCACCTACTATGGGCCAGGCACAGTGCTAGATGCTAGAGACGTAGAACAAAAATAGTCCCTGCCCTCAGTGAGTTTCCATTCTACAGGGGGAGGGGAAGGAATTCAACGTTCAATCCGGTAGGCACAGGCCTGGTAGTTTGAGGGAGAGGGAGAGCAAGGGGAAGCTGGAAAGGCTTTCCTGGAGGGAGCTGTGGAACAGCCTTAAAGGAAGCCAAAGGAGGGGCAGCTAGGTGGTGCAGTGGGTAGAGCACCGGCCCTGAAGTCAGGAGGACCTGAGTTCAAATCCGGCCTCAGACCGAACACTTGACACTTACTAGCTGTGTGACCCTGGGCAAGTCACTTAATACCAATTGCCTTAAAAAAAAAAAGGTGTTATATAAATAGTGCTTTAAAATAGTGCTTTACATAAGGAACTAGTATGAAGTTCTCCCCTTTAGAACACTGCTGTTGTTTGTCCTTCATTCTGGAAGAGGACTATGACATGAAGCAGGACACTATGACATGCAAGTGTTGGAGCATAAGACTCTTAAGGAGAGGTGGGTTGCTTTCGTGTTTTCCTGGCACACAGTAAGCATTTAATAAATGCTGGCTGATGGATTTTGGGGATGAGATAATAATTATAAGGCAGCTAGGTGGCACAATGGATAGAACGTCTGACCTGAAGTCAGGAAGTGAAGGGAGGGGAGGGGAGCTTAGGGAGAAGAGGGATGGAACCCTGGGCATCTTACCTGGATAGTAGACCCCTCCAGGAACAGCCCCAGGAACAGCCCCAGGAACAGCCCCTGGGACCCCTACAGAGGAAACAGGGAATGCTCTGTTAGGCATCATTAGTCCAGCTTGTGGGGACGGGTGGGTGGGAGCCCCAACTTGTGATAGTGCTGATGGACACCACCGTGAAACCCAGCCTCCTCCCTCGGACCCTGCCTCTCCCAAGTCTGGTGAATAGGACCACGTTCGCAGCTCCTCCTCAAACACTGGGGGTGCCCCCTGAATCATTCATACCCTCTCACTTCAACCCCCTAGTGACTAAAGCTACATGTTTCTCAGCTAGTGAAGTAAGGAATTTATTGAGGGAGGGGAAAAAAAGTATTAGATTGAGAATCAGAGAAACTGGGTGGAGAATCTGGCTGTCACTGTATGACCTTGGGAAAGTCACTTCATCTGGGCCTCAGTTTCCTAACCTGTAAAAATAAGAAAGCAAAGCCAGCTGGCCTGTGGTGTCCCTTCCATCTCTCAGATCTATGATCTTATTATACCTTGGGTGAGTGGTCGGTCAGTCTGTGACTGGGGCTAGGTGGGCAATCCGTGGTCAGAATTAGGGGTTACTCTCTGCTCAAGGCCGGGGCTCATGTGGCTGGGATTAGAGGTCAGTCTGTGCTCACTCAGAAGGCACAGAATTCCTCTCTGTGGAAAGCTCCCTTGGTTTCACCTACTGGGCTCAAGAACCAACCCATTCCCTCCCCTTCCCCCATAGCCCACCCCCCCAAGTCAAAATTGAACCCGCAGAAAGAACTCCAGAAACTTTTGGCTTCTCTGGGATCCCAGTCCCTTAATGATTAAGCAATGAGGTCACCCTGGTAGGCTTTCCAGAGCAAATACTCCATTCTCACACTGACAGGACCAAGTGTGAGGTCACTGTCCTCAGCCCCAGCTCGTGTGGTGCAATCAGGAGGGGCCTGGGCTGGAGGACGGAGGAGAGAGTCCAGCCCTGGGAACAGATCTGGTTATTGAAAGACAGCCCCAGGCTCCGGATTCCAAAGGAAACACCAGAGAGTGGATGATGCAGACAGGTAGAGCCTTTGAATGACAGAGGCCTGTGTCAGCACCGGCCCTTATTATTGCTGCGTGGGCTGGTCCTGGGTCCCACAGCATGTTCAGAGGACAAGGTCACGGGCCCCATTCCTTTGTAGGTCAGCTGGCTTTGCACAGACCAGAACGAGGCTTCCAGCTACAGGCTGCCCGAGATGAGACCTAATTCCAGCCATAGACAGTTCTCCAATCCCAGACTCCTAGACTGAGCTTGAATGGTGGTCATAGACTAAACCCTAAGCTTAGCCACAGAGTGATCCCTTACTCCACAGACTTGTCCCTAACCCTGGCTGTGGAGCGATTCCCCAAGAGATAGCACGGTCTGATGAATGCGGCATGGGGATTCCGCCTCAGACACTTGGTAGCTTTTCCTCATCTATAAAATGGAGTTGCGGGGTGGGGGTCGGGCGGAGATCGGACCCAGTGGCTTCTAAGATCTCTTCCAGTGCTAAATTGATGCTTCTGTGATTTATAGACTGACCCCTGGCCATAGATTGACCCCGTAATCCTGGTTACAGACTGACCCTCTCACAAACAAGGGTTATTGGTCTTAAGAGTTTCTGGATGAGTGAGGATGGGTGCATCAGGGTAGTTACTGTCCATCATGGGCAGCACAGGACAACTGAATCTGGGTCGGGAGCATCCTGCCAGAAGGCCCTACATCTAATGAGGACAGCCTTCAGTTCAGAGCTGGAGAGAGACGCATACGAACACACAGAATCAGAGACTGTGATTGAAAGACAGAGAGATAGAGGAGGGAGAGACAGAGAGATAGAGACAAATCTACAGACAGAGAGATAGAGAAGGAGGAAAGAGGAAGAAATAGAGAGATAGAGACTGAGCTCCAGAGACAGAGAGATAGAGGGAGAGACAGAGAGACAGAGACACAGAGACAGAGACAGATAGAGAAGGATGGTGACAGAGCCTCTTCTGGCTACCAGGAGAGTTGAGAGACACTTCTGCTCTCTACCCGCTTGAGCCAGCACATCTGGATGGCTAAACAGTGTCTCCTTCAGCTGCAGCCTGTCACCACCACTGAGCATCTGAGACCCACCCCCTTCCACTCAGGAAAGAAATACCAACCTCCCTCCTTCTCCTGCCTATGACAAGGTCCTGGTCTCCCTAGAACCTAGCTTCTTCCCCTCCCTGGCCCCCAGGAAACGCAACAAATCGTTTCACCTTTAGTTCATTGAGGAGTGGAAATCTGGGGAAGGGGTGTTGAAGATTTGAAGGGGGAGGTGGAGGCAAGCCCGGCTGCTTGGGGGGTGTAGAGAATCCACGGCCGCCAGGTTCTGACCGGGGCTTTCTCTGCTGCCCAGCCTCCCCCTTTTCCCCTGCATGCCCTGCGGCTCCTGTGAAGTCCAGCATGGGCTGTAGGCTTTGGGCCTGAGCCGAGGGGCTCAGCTCCCCCCCGGGGCCAGGCTTGCTGGGAAGCGGCCCCTTCATCTCTGTCTTCTGCAGCCAGAAGCTCTGGCCATATCGGTCCAGCAGAGCTCTTGATCTGTCTCTGCTAGCCTCCCCTCCGCTCCTCTCCCTCTCAGGCTGCCTGCTCCAAGACAGACTCGTTCAGAGAGGGCTCAGTGTCTCCTCTCCAACACCCCTCCTTCTGGCTCCAAAAACCAAGGCCTGTTTAGAACACAATTCCACCCGGACCTGGGGCTCCCTTTCTGCCAAGGGGAGGTGTAGGGATGTGTGTGTGTGAACTGGGGAGAGGGGGGAGGAGGGCTGCTGTCAGGCTGAGGCCTGGCCAGAGGAACAGTATCCCCGGGGGACAGTGTGCCTGAGGTCAAGAAACTCTCCTCCAAGAAAACCCGTTGGCCCAGATTCTCAGACAGGCTGCCCAAGCCTAGCAGCAACCCAGGAGACACCTGGGTGACGGCCCAGGGTAGGTCTGGGGCAGCCTTCTCCCCTCCCAGTCCCCCATCCCTCCCTCACGAGGGCATCCCTGCTCAGAGATGGAAACGCTCCAGGGTCAAGGTCTGGGGAATAGCCCCTGGTGCCTCCAACTCCAAGACTGGCCAGAGAATTTCTAGAAACAACCAGCTGTCCAGGCTCTTCCTTGCTTTGCCAAGTCCACCCTACCCCCACCCTGGTCATGGTCAGACTGTTGTTTGGGCCTCTTCCCGTGGCCGGCCTCACTGCCTCCCCTGCCCTTTTCTCCCCTCTCCCAGCCATCAGATGGATGTTCCCAAAGTAAGACTTTCAGCACATAACTCCCTGGGTGCAGAGGCTGTAGGTAATAGGAAGCTGCTTAGAACGGTTGAGGGGCATGATGAAAGCACTGTTGTCAGCTGAAGAACAAAGCTTTCACCTGGCATTCAAGGACCTCTATGATTTGGCACTGATTTACCTCTTCCACTGCTCCTCTCCTCCATGTCCCTTCCCCCTCTCCTCTAGAAGACACACACACACACACACACACACACACACACACACACACACACACACACACACTCCTTGAGTTTTCCTGCCTCCAAACTTTTATTCATGCAATTCCCCCACTTGGAGTGTCCTTTCCTCTTTCCTCTGCCTCTCCATCCTACTCATTCTTCAAGGCCTACATCTAATTTCACCTTTTCTTAAACTTGCATTTTGCCATCCTCAGGAGCCATATGGCATAGTGGGTAGACCCTGGACCGGTCATGTTACCTCTCTGAGCCTCATTTCCCTCATCTCTAAAGTGGAGTTAAAACTATTTGCACTCTCTCCATCATAGGGCTGTCCTGAGGGAAGGAACTTGTGTCCTTCATTTCTTTCCTTCCTTTCCTTCCTTCCTTCCTTCCTTCCTTCCTTCCTTCCTTCCTTCCTTCCTTCCTTCCTTCCTTCCTTCCTTCCTTCCTTCCTTCCTTCCTTCCTTCCTTCCTTCCTCTCTCTCTCTCTCTCTCTCTTTCTTTCTTTCATTAAATGACTTGCCCAGGGTCATGCAGTTAGTAAGTGCCTCAGATTGGATTTGAACTCAGATCCTCCTATCTCCAGGGCTGATGCTCTATCCAGTTCACCACCTAGCTGCCCTCCTTCATTTTTTTTCATTAGTAGCATCATCTTTTGAAACAAGTGCTGGGCCAGGAATCAGGAGCTCTTTAGCCCCAGTTCCATCCCTGATGTGCTTGCTGCATAACTTAAACATGTCACTTCTTCAATCTAACATGAATGATAACAGTAATGATAATATTTGCTGCACTTTTCCAGCAGGATTAACCAACCAGTTACCTATTTCTATCAAACACTGCTCCCCTCCCTCCCCTGGTCCTGGGAAGAAGAGGATTTGGACACTCCTGGATTCAGGTTCTGCCTTGGACACCTACTGATCTTATGACCTTGATCATTACTCATTTGATTTCTGTTTCCTCAATTATAAAATCGTGGGTGTGGACCAGGTTATAGATTTGGAATTAGAAGGTCAACTTGTCTAGCTCTCTTATGTTACAGGAGAGGCCCAAGGAGCTGGTCGAGCAGGGAGCCATGCCTAGTGTCTCTTCCAGACCTCCCTCTGTAATGCTGTGACCCTCTGTCTTGGGTGTCAGATGGATAGGGCCAGTACCATTATTATTTTAAAGATGAGGAAACTAAGGTTGACAAGGGGCAAAGTGACCGGCGTTGGGCCCCCGCTGTTAGAGCCAGGGTCAGGAGCCAGACCCAGCTGTCTCCTGACTCCGGTCTGATCTTCTTTCCACTGGGGCCACGTTGTCTCTCAGCACTAATATTAAGCAGGAGAAGGAAACCTGCAGGGAGGCAGGAAGATCTGGGTTCAAATCCTGCTTCTGACACATACAGGCTGTGTGACCCTGGGCAAGTCTCTGAAACTCACTCTTCCCTGGGTAATTCCCTAATTCCAGAAGTTGCAGAACAGTGTTGTTAGAGGAAATTTTCTGTCTAGAAGTTCCCTCTACCAATAAAATGATGGGGCCTTTCCTCTCTTCGCCCCTCCCCCAGTAGCTAATAATAGTAACTATCATTTAATAAAGTACCTTAAGGCTTAAAA